TAAATATAATAATGTTGTAATAATTGAAAACAATTGAATGATAATTAAGTAATTGAAGTTGTAAACCTTATTAAGGGTTCCAAATGATTTTTTATAGGTGTAGCCTCATGAAATGACAGAATTAACTTGTTAACTTTATGGAAGATGGGAATTTTTTTCTTTTCTTTTTTTGTATAAGTAAGGGATGGTGTTAAACTATCTTGCTGAAATGGTAAAGATTTTGGATATTTGAAGAATGAATTAAATGAATAATTTTTATTAACACGGAGGAGATGGATTGTTTAAGTTTAGAGTTTGGAGTTAGAGATATTAATATTTGTTTACTTGTATTTGAATATTAGCCTAGGTTTGGTTTGGGAAGTCCGGGGGGTGGGATATAACATGGTGTAATATCTGTGATGTATTTCTTTTCTTTTATGATAAAAATAATAAAATTTTTATAATGAAAAAATAAATAAATAAAAAAATTAAAAAAAAAAAAAAAAAAAAAAAAAAAAAAAAAAAAAAAAAAAAAAAAAAAAAAAAAAAAAAAAAAAAAAAAAACAAAGTAGACCACAACCTACTTCTTAGTAAACTAGAAAAAAGTGAGATACAGCCATCAGACTGGCTGTAACTGGCTGACAAACCGTACTCAACGATTAGTTTTTAATGGTACTAGGTCTACATGGAGGGAAGTAAGCAGTGAGGAATCACAAGGTTCCGTCTTAGGCCCAGTACTCTTCAATATCTTCATAAATGACTTAGATGAGGGAATAGAAGGGGAACTTACCAAATCTGCAGATGATACTAAGCTGACAGGAATAGCCAACACCCTAGATCAGGGATGTCAAACTTCCGGCCCACGGGAAGGATGCGTTACACGCAGGCCATGCCCACCCCAGCTCCGCAAAGGCAAAAAAACGTTGTGATAGTCACAATACGTCACATGATGCGACGAGTTTGATACCCCTGCCCTAGATGATAGACTCAAGATCCAGATGGATCTTGACAGACTTGAACAGTGGGCCCTATCGAACAAAATGAAATTCAGTGTAGAGAAAAGTAAAGTCTTAACCAAAAATATACATATAGATTGGGTGAAACCAGACCTAATAGTAACTGTGAGAGGAATCTTGGAATGTTAGTGGACAATCAATTAAATATGAGCCAAAACTGTGTGGTGGCGGTAGCCAAGAAAACCAATGCAATCTTAAGTTGCATTAACAGAGGGATTCAATCAAGATCACAGGAGGTACTAATACCATTCTATAAAGCCTTAGTAAGACCACACCTAGAATAATGCATCCAGCTTTGGTCTCCACACTATAAAAAAGATGTTGAGACTCTTAGAGTGCAGGGAAGGGCAACAAAGATGATTAAGGGCTAAAGGCTAAAACATATGAAGAACGGTTACAGGAACTGGGCATGGCTAGTCTAGTGAAGAGAAGGGCCAGGGGAGACATGATAGTGTTCCAATTTTTGGGGAGCTGTCACAGAGAGGAGGGGGTCAACCTATTTTCCAAAACACCTGAAGGCCAGACAAGGAATAACAGATGGAAATTGATCAGAGACATTTTCTGACAATGAGAACAATCAACCAATGGAACAGCTTGCCTCCAGTTGTGGGAGCTTCAACACTGAAGGCTTTCAAGAAGAAACTGTCATAAATGGTGTAGGGTCTCCTGCTTGGGCAGGGGGTTGGACTAGATGCCCATTCCATTCCATTGTTCTAGCACCATTACAACATGTAACTGAAATTGGCAGGCCTAATTACAATTGTATCTCGAGGACTACTTGTTTGGTGGCTGGAGAATTCTGTCACTCAAAATCTGGAGGACAAAAGTTAGAAGATGGAAACTCCACATGTGGGAATTTTACAATCAATATACAAAAAACACAACACAAAAGCCAATTTGAGAAAGTTCTGCAAAAAGAAAATATCCAGAAACTTTTGCTGATAACCAGAAACAGGTAATTAGCTTTTATCAAACTAACATATTTCATTTATTTTCCACTATTATAGGTACAATCATGAGATATGTTGACTAAAAAGTATCAGGGCAGAATACAAATAGTCAATTTTTCACCCACACTCTCAACGGGAGATCAGAAATGAAATTCAAGCATTCTCTACATTTATCAACTTTTGCCTCATGTTGATTTCCTTGTATAAAATAAGGAGTGATTTACGCCTGAAGTACTGTCCACAGACTGGACATTTGAAAGGTCTCCCCCATGTGAGTCCTCTGGTGTTTCACTAGGTTTGAATTGTGACTAAAACGTTTCCCACAAACCGGACACTGATACGGTTTCTCCCCTGTGTGAGTCCTCTGGTGTATCATCAGGCTGGAATTCTGACTGAAAGTTTTCCCACAATCAGGACATTGAAAAGGTTTCTCTCCTGTGTGAGTCCTCTGGTGGTTTACCAGGATGCAAAACCGACTGAAACCTTTCCCACAATCAGGACACTGAAAAGGTTTCGCTCTTTTGTGAGTCCTCTGGTGGTTTATCAGGCTATAGTACCGACTGAAACTTTCCCCACAAATAGGACATTCAAAGGGTTTCTCTCCTGTGTGAGTACTCTGGTGTCTCACGAGGTGGGAATTTGCAATGAAACTTTTCCCACAATCAGGACGCCCATATTTTTCTCCTATGTGAGTCCTCTGATGTCTCACCAGATTGGAATTCTGACTAAAACTTTTTCCACACTCTGGACACTCATACAGCTTCTCTCCTGTGTGAGACCTCTGGTGGTTCACTAGGTTGGAATTATAATTGAATTTTTTCCCACAATCTGGACACTCATACGGTTTCTCTCCAGTGTGATTTCTCCGGTGTTTAACCAGTTCATAATTCTGAGTGAAGCTTTTCCCACAATCAGGACATTCAAATGGTTTCTCTCCTGTGTGAGTCCTCTGGTGTTTCACCAGGTTGGAATTATGACTGAAAGTTTTCCCACAAACTGGACACTCATATGGTTTCTCTCCCATGTGAATCCTCTGGTGTATCACCAGGCTGGAATTCTGATTGAAACTTTTCCCACAAAGAGCACATTCAAAGGGTTTCTCTCCTGTGTGAGTCCTCTGGTGTTTCACCAGGCTGGAATAGTGACTGAAACTTTTCCCACAATCAGAACATTCAAAGGGTTTGTCTCCTGTATGTGTCCTCTTGTGACTCATGAGTTGGAATTTTCTAATGAAACTTTCTCCACAATCTGGACACTCATACAATTTCTCTCTTGTGTGAGTCCTCTGGTGTTTCACAAGGTAGGAATTCTGACCAAATCTTTTCCCACAATCTGCACACTCGTATGGTTTTTCTCCCGTATGAGTCCTCTGATGTTTCACCAGGTAGGAATATTGACTGAAAGTTTTTCCACAATCTGGGCACTCATATGGTTTCTCTCCTATATGAGTCCTCTGGTGCATCACCAGGTTGGAATTCTGACTGAAACTTTTCCCACAATCTGGGCACTCATACGGTTTCTCTCCTATGTGTGTCCTCTGGTGTATCACCAGGCTAGAATTCTGATAGAAACTTTTCCCACAATCAGGACATTCAAAGGGTTTCTCTCCTGTGTGAGTTCTCTGGTGTTTCACCAAGTCTGAATTCCCATTGAAACCTTTCCCACAATCAGGACATTCAAAGGGTTTCTCTCCTGTGTGAGTCCTCTGGTGAATCACCAGGCTAGACTTCTGACTGAAACCTTTCCCACAATCAGGACATTCAAAGGGTTTCTCTCCTGTGTGAGTCCTCTGGTGTCTCACAAGGTGGGAATTTGCAATGAAACTTTTCCCGCAATCAGGACACTTGTATGATTTCTTTTTTGTGTGCATCCTCTGGTGTATCACCAGGCTGGAGTTCTGACTGAAACTTTCCCCACAATCAGAGCAGTGAAAGGGTTTCTCACTGGTGTGAGTCCTGCAACATATCACCACGTGGTTGTGCTCACAAATAATTTACTGCATTGGGAGCACTTGTGGGGCTCCACTCCTTTGTGGGTCCTTCCATGAATCACAAGGGAGCTGTTCTGGCCAAGGCTTTTGACGCATTCAGAGTATTTGTATGACTTTTCTCCAATGTGGATCATTTTGTGCATAATCATTTGTGATTTCAAATTGCACTTTTCCCCACAATATGCTCATCCGTGTAGCTTTTCCAGTACTAAT